GGTGGCCTTGGCCACACTGGTCATGTTTCAGGAGCTCACTAGCTGTAACTGTGGTGACCTTGGTCACACTGGTCATGTTTCAGGAGCTCACTAGCTGTATCTGTGATGGCTGTGTTGTTGTATGGCATGGGTGATGTCTCTATCAGAGTGGAAGCAGCTTGAGAACTGTGCCTCCCCTGCAGGGGGACAGCAGGGTCTCTTGTTGCTAGTTTAGAAGACAGTGTCTGGAGTTCAAATGACAGAGCTTTTGGGAGAGCCTTCCCCCATAGTGCTTCTACTACTTCTACTGCAGGGTGCCTAACTATCTAGCATTACAGTATGACGTTGTCATCTACAAGATGTTGAGCCACAGTCATAACTACTTGGAACACATGTGTCCTGCGGGCTGCAGGTTAGACATGCCTGCCTCCTCTCTGGAGGATGTCCCAGCATTATGTCCTCCCTTATCCCTACTTGCATAACACAGGAAGCTGGTGATTGACACCTTTGGCCAACAACAGGTGCCATTTGTTTTCCCTATGTTTATTTTTGCATTTGCCTCTGAGTTATGACACAATTCTGCTTTCTCATATATGAGGTACAATTCTTTAAAAATAAAATTTAAGTAAATTGGAAATGAGTCAGCTTAAAGAATAATACTAAATTCACAATAGTGAATAGAGCAACAGGCTAAGGGTGATGCCAGGTGGGAACATTGGCATAGGAATGACTAGGCTAAGTTAGTAATATAAATAATAATTACCAGCTGCAGGTATCCTACTCCCACACTGATTTGCATGCTATGAGAATTAGCTCTATCAGTGCTCATAGCAACTCAGTGAGGTAAGACACTTTTGTAACTGACTCATGATAAGGAAACAAAGACACAGAGAAACACATTTAATGGCACGGCTTTTTAGCTCATACTGCCACCCCTGACAGACTTTAGATTTAGTCTCATTGTTTTAGCTGCTCTCCTGGTGCTGTGATAAATGCTCTGAAAAAAACAACCTAAGGGAGAAAGTGTATCTGAACCATCTCTGTCCCACCAGCCAGCTCTCAAAGAACCACATGAAGACTTCTTGTTAATTGTGAAAGCTCGGCAATAGCTTAGGTTTGTTCCTAACTAGTTCTCATAACTTAAATCAACGCATATCTTTTAATCTACATTCTTTTAAGTGATTTGGTTACCTTTATTCTGTATTCCCCATCCGGCTTCCCCTCTGTCTGGCTTACAACTCTCTGCATCTCCACCCTTCTTCCCAGCATCTTCTCTACCCTGAAAATCCTGCCTAACTATTGGTTGTTCAGATTTTTATTAAACCAATCCAAGCAACAAATCTGCACAGTGTACAAAAAAATTGTTCTACATTTCTCCCTCTTTGTCTAAATAAAAAGGAATGGTTTTAGCTCTAACATATAAAACTATAAACAATAAGAACAATTATCGGGTAAGAATTACATTTACAATGTCCAGTCCATTTGTATTTGGCATATTTGTAGAAAAATACTCCATTATTTCTTTTATCTTGATGAGTCCAAAGCTCTGTACCTAATTTATCTTCTGTCATAACTAAGGAAAACTGCAGCTATAAATACCTACTCTTCAGCTCCATCAGAGACCCCAGAAGGATCTAATATTACCTTAGTAAACAGGAAGTGCAGATCAAGCAGCTTTCAAAACTAAAATAAATGACAGGAACAGATGACTGACAAGACAATCACCCAAGGTTCTTCTGTAATGTTGGGGCATCCATCTTTGACCTGCAGGCCTAGAAAATCTTATAGACTTTTTTTGTGAAATAGAAATTTTTGAAGGATTGTCTTATCTTGCCTTGGCAAAGCTTGGCAGTCCATTTTCTTTGTGTCCTGCCAGTCCAGTTTGGTCAGCATACTGTCAGCAGCCAAGGCAAGGGCAGTTAAAGAAAGCATATTTTGTATTGGAGGGTCTCTGATGCCCATCATCTTCTCTAAAGTTGATTGGTACTACCAAGAACAGATGAGTATCATTGTCACCAAAAGCCTTATGTTATTAAAACATCTTAAATGACACAATCTGCAGATCCATGAAGAGTTCAAAGACCTCCTGATCTTGAGAGCATACCTAATATGACAATAAGTTTGATAGTTCCAGATGACTAACTATTAACCTGTATTTATTTTCCTAAATCAATTTTAAAGACTAACTGCCTTAAACAGGAATAGAAATATAGATATACTATAACAAAAATAGCCTTAAATTTGTATCAGTATACAAAAACCATACCTATGGCAACTGTACCACCTAAAACCGTGGTCAGGCAAGGACCTGGGGAGTAAAGAACACACAGAGACATGGGTCACTCTTAAAGCGAGAATTCCTATTTTATTATGTTCCTAGGCAGCTTGTATAGTACTCTCCTTGACTAGTGGCCACACTCTAGCTCTGGGGATTTTCCACTGCAAATCCTTGTTATCAGGAGCTCATGAAGGTTTTGTGCTCAGAGCAGCTGCAAGCATAAAAAAGCAAGTAGTTTACTCCAGTAGGCAAGGGATCATAGAAAGTTCAGAGTCTGAGCATCTGCAGCTCCCAACATGTACCAATGTAAAATATTTGAGACTCGTGGTTGTTTAAAAGTAGATTCAACAATCCACACTTTTATCTCATCATTTTTATCCTATAGTCCCATTTTTTCCTTCAGAAAGAGATCTTTGAATCTAATTCCTTTGTTTAGCTTTTGTCCTGACTGTGACCAATAACAGCTTGTAACCAACTTCCCTAAATGATGAGAAACATCTATAGCCCATCAAATGACCAAAAACACCTACCATATTTCTTGGAAATGTGGGCATCATGTTCTCCAAACTGCTTCCTGTTGTCTGGGGTACTGTCATCTTTAGGAGACCCTAGACAAGTTGATATAATTGTCAAGTTTTGAGAGAGTTAGCTGAATTATTTGTTGTTTAGTCTCTGTGTAATGGAAAAGTACAAGACCTTTCTGCAGTCCTAGCTAGAATAGTTTGTGAGGCTGGACCACTTCAGCCAGCAGTCTTGAAGATGTTCTGAATGCAGAACTCTGAGGAAACTCCACCAGAAGCGCCCTGAGAGGCTGGATCACGTGGCCCACCTGTTTTCATTGGTAGATCTGGTGTCCTTGCTCTGAAAATACTTTCAAAGGTAACATACATATCTGCATTAACACAAGTATGGAATATATGGTATGCACAAGTCACCTAAGGAGGATTCTGTGTTTGAGCAGGTAAAAGGCATCTGTCAACTTTATAAGTCTGTTTGGGCTGCATAACCAACTGTAATATAAATCTCCATCCATATGAATGGATGGCATGTAATAATAAGTCATGAGGACTCTAGCCAACAAGATTTATCGTGTCTCATCTCAGAGCTGTTCCCATGTCAAGGGATCAGCTTACATGTTACTGTAGTCTGTTTTGGCTTCCTCCCCCATGTGTGTAGCCAATATACTCAGGAGATTTCCTCCAATGAAATCTGATCTTTACTAATCTGGACGGATTAAAAAACAATATTAGGATAACCTCTTCCCTAAAGCAAAAC